CCACCCCTCATCACTTATCACATTACTCCTAATTCATATCTTGTATAACTTCCAAATTGGTGTCCTAGAAGTGGGCGCTCTTCTTGCTTTCAGTTTGGTATTCCTCGAGTATATTACTTCAGAGCCTAATCCGTATCTCAAGCCAGATGCTACCGCTATCCGAAGACCTGTATTTCAAGCCACCTGCTGCCGCCATTAGGAGAGCTGTTCACATGGGTCCTGGTATTAATATTGTACACCACTTAATTAGGCTACCACCTCTTTTTAAGTACTCTCTATCAGTATGGTGATACAGAAATCTAGATCCTTAGGATGGGAGTTAAGAACCTCATTTAATTACTGCCACAAAGCAGTAACCCAAGACTTACGCTTCTGCTATGTTTCGTTATAGCTATATAGGTTGTGTGACTATACTCACTAGCTGTCTTTATGTTTATACCACCAGAGTGCTTGCTTCCATGCTTTTCGGGGGTTCTTTTTAACCAGTTTTCTTTGTTTCTTCATTGCGCCAGAGGTGTTCCATATTTGGTAAAGCTATTCTTTTACTACAGCCCCTTACTATGTTTACTGCTTCTCTTACCACTTCTGAATAAACTGCATACAGCCGTTTTTCCAATCAAGATCCCAATGCCACCTTAGGGTTGTTGGTGCTACCTTGCCAATTGTGAATTCACACACACAGCCTTCTGCAGTAATACCTTCTGTGACCCATGTCACATGTAGTGCCCGATCTTCTCTATGGTTTGAGACTCCTTCCAAGAATTCTTTATCAGCCAAATATATACTTCACATGGTCTTACTACCACAGAGTTCCATATTCAAAAGCCTCTGAAGGTTACAGAGATAATTAATTTAATTAATTACCACCAGCTGTAATTGAACCATTGACCTCGTCTGTGTAGGGTTAGATGCCTAGACCACTAAGCTATAGGACCCTAACCCTTTTTAGCCAATTATAGCAAATATCTGCTATGCTTATCTAGTATAGTTTGTATTCTAGTATAGCAAGTTGTACTTAAATATTATATTTGAATACCAAATAATATTAAATTAATAAAATTAAATTTGTATATAGATATTAGACTACAAACTTTTTTATATTTTAATAAATGTCTTGGCAGAACTGCCAAAGTTAGAAAAAAATATTTATCTTTACTATGTATTGTTTAACTTCTAACTGAGTTGAGAACTCAAAATAATACTACAAAAAAGCCTATCATAAATGCTATACTCTACTTGGCTATTTTTGTTATTATTTTGAGTTTATAAAACAATTTAACATGGCAAGCTCTGTTAAATTGTTTTGCTATAGCTAAAGCCACAAATGTAACTAATTTACATAAATAATGACTAAATTTTAGATTAAATAATATAAAATAAATTTTTTTTTTTATTTATATAAGTATTTTAAAAATATAATAAATAAATATAAAAAAATATAATAAATAATATATATTAAAGTTTTTATTTGCTTTAAAAAGTTCAATTTGTTTATTTTTTCACTTCATCTTTATATAAATAAAAAAATTAAATAAAATATCTTATCAATTGTTTTTATCTAGTCAATGAAAACAATCAATAACACCTCTTTGCAATCTAGCAGCTTCTGATTGCAAATAGCACTCCTACACTCTTTAATAAAATTTCTCTTTTCTCTCTCTCTTCCTTTTTATGTAGAGGGATTAATGTTTAATATTGGTATTAGACATCTTGTATTTATAGCAACTAGCATACTAGCTATAATTCAATGCTACCCAATATCAGTTAATTAAATAAATAAAAAAATATAAAAAAATAAATATAAAAATTTAAAAAAAAAATAATTCATTTATTTAATAATTTAATTTCAATTATATAATAAAAATAATTTATTTATTTTTTAAAATAATTTGTAATTTTAATTCCAGTTAAATTATTTCTTTCTAATAATTCAACTTTTTTAAGTGATCCTTCTTTTGATAACCTATCAGCTTGCTCATTTCTATAATTTCCCATATAGCCATAAACATGGATAAAACTAATAGTTCCTATTCTACTATCAACTACTTTCTTTAAATATTTAATCAAATTACTATTTTTCACTGGAATATTTTGATATGAAATATAATTATTTTTTTCCTAGTTTTTAATCTATATTTTTATAATATTAATCACATACTTACTATCAGTCATTATTTGTAATGCTTTTTACTTATTATTGCAAATTTTAATAGCACGAATTACTGCATAAATCTCTGCTTAATTATTAGTTTGTTTACTAGGTAAATGCTCAGATAAATTATTTTGATCATAATATACCAATATTAGCTCTTGTATTAGAAGAACTATTTTTAAACAAACTTTCATCAGTCTAGACTTGTAATTTAAATAGATTAAATTTGATCACTTTTTTCTTTCCTTCAATATAATTCTGTACTTGCTTTAAATTATAAAATTTCTTATATTTTGTATTAGAGAATTTAGAAACTTGTGCTTTACATTCTTTCCAAGTTTTGTAAATTTCTTTTTCACAACCTACATGTACAGCATAATAACCTGGTTTATATTTACTCATTTTACTAAAAACATAAAATGATTAGTCGGTCGATCAATCATTTTATAAAGAGTATAGGTAAAGTGAGAGTTAGTGTATATATTTATTGGTTAATAAATAAGAAGACACAGTAACAACTCTCTCACCTGTGATTAGTTGAAATTAGAAAAAAATTGTGTAATAAGAAAGTAAAAAATGAAGAGTTTATATAATAAAATGAAGCTAAACCACTTCAGCCACCCCGAATAAATTAAAAATTATTTAGTAAAATATTAGTGAAGAAGTGATAAAAAATTATTAATTTATTAAATAAAAAAATTTAGTAACTTTAAATTTCTAATATAACATATTGATTTAAATAATTTTTTTAGTAAAAATAAAAAACTAACAATTAATTATACCCCAATAATCACTTAGACCAAAATTTCCTATGAAAGAAAAGTTAAGTTTGGACACTGGAGAAGTAGAAAAGACCTGTAGTAGGTGGACAACAGTGCGGTTTTTATAAAGATTAACCTTTCGTTTACTTGTGAGAACTCCTTTATATATTCAACATGCAAGCCGAAAGTGTCTTTATACAAGATAACTGGCTGGGAAAGTGTGCCCTTGTATATAAAATTTTGGTGGAGATTATAGTGTTTTTCTGTTGATGAAGCAACCTGTTGTGAACCAACTGAAGAACAGTGAAGAACTTGCTATTCTTAAGCCACATTCTTTTATTCGAACAAGTGACTCCTTTCTTACTCACTTCTACTCTCCTGCTGGTTTTCCAAAATTTTTTCAAAAAAAGTAGGGATTTGGCTTACCCTCTCCAAAAGATTAGCATTGTTTATATTCCAAATTCGGATAGTATATTAGATTGCAACCACATGTTTTATGAATATGGCACCTCTATACAGGATCAGGCCCTGGATAAGAAACCCCTAATAAGGAAGAAGGTACTCCTAATGGCGGTAGCAAGTGGTTTGAGATATGGGTCTATAGATGGTGGCAATATCTGGCTTAAGATACGGATTAGGATGGGCTAGAGTGAAACTATCCGAAGTACATTGAATAGTCGGAAAAAAACCCCAAAGTTAAAGCGAAGCTTTACATTAGAGATATACAAACGTTGCATATAGTATATAATTTTTTCAGCCTTGTACAGGTTATAACAGTGCACCCCTTTTGTTTTCTTTTTCTAAATGTATGTCATGATACCTTGTCCTTTTTTGTGCTTTTTCCATCTTCGTCCCTTTATGATAGAATCAGATTTAAGACATACTGTTCTTAATATGTTTTTTTTTTTTTTTTTTTTTTCTTTTTGTCTCTTTCTTTTCTAAATTTTGGTTTTCTTTGATAAATTTAATATATGGTATTCTCTTATAGAAAAGTAAGAGATAAACTATTCTGCCCGGATCTAGGTAAGAAAAGTTTTCAAGAAGGGATGGGTAGTCATAACAGGCTAGTAGATCCCGGCCGGTGAATTGTGGACTCTAAATCTGAGGCAGATTTAGATAAGCAAGGAGGTTGCTTCTGCTCTGACATGTTGTATATAGGTCCAATTAGAAACCAGGTGAATCACACTTTAGCACAAAGCAGCATAGCTGTAGTGGTAAATTCAAATGTAAAAGTTTGTAATATCTATGTTTAAGTAATAAAGTTGTGGTATGACTGCTCGTTTGCAAAAAAATAAAAAATAAAAAACTAACAAAAATAAACATGTTTACAAAAATATATTCTATAATACATAAATAATCATATTCCATTACAAAATTATATACAATTAAAAGAAAAAAAAGAGCTAAAATATAAATTTTTTCATATATTTGTTCTCTTTGATTATTGTTTAATATATTTTAATGAAATTAATTATGTTCTGAATTATAATATTGTTAATTTTTAAATTATTTAAAAAATTAAAAAAAATAATATTATCTACTTTCTTTTCAAATATAGCAAAATTTTTAGTTTTATAGAGTTGTTCTCAATTTAAAGCATTAATTGTAATTAGCTTTAATGAATTATTCAAATTATTTAATTCACAAATTTGATTGGCCAAATTATCATTAGTATTTTGCAACTCAAGAATTTGATTATATAATTAAGTATTTATATATATTAATTCAGTATTGTCTGCCAATAATGCAATATTATATTGAGATTGTTCTATTAATAAAAATAATTTTATTTAAATAATCAAATAAATATATTTATAGTTAAAATAAATATAATTTAAATAATAATAATAAAATACAAAAGGAAAGCTAAATTGTTTTAAATACATGTTTTAAACCTAGATAAAAAGAATTTGTTTTGTCTAATTTATCTACTGTGCTAGATCCAATATTAATTTTTGCTTTTTTAATTACTAATAAATTTTTATCTATATCAAGAATATTATCTTTAAACAATTCAATTTTATCAACTAAATGTTTCTCAGATTTAAGAATGTGTTTACTATTATTGTTCAACTCTTAATAATCGCCTAAATAGTAGCTTGAGTATCATCAATAATATTGATTTCAAATTCTTTAATTAATCTGAATTTGTCTTTCTTTTGTTTACAGATATATTCAGAATTATTTGAATAAAGATTTGATAATTCAGAATCTGATTCTGATTCGCTAAAATTTTCTAAGTGCTAATAATTATTTTGTAAAAATTCTATTTGTGAATCCAAATCAAAATTTGTTTCAATACCATTATTTGATTCAACTATCATATAATATTTTTTAGAAATTTGATTTAAGTCTGAATTAATTTCTTCTAATTTTCTTTTTTTGAGTTTTGACTTCTTGTTTGTAGTTTGATAATTCTTTGCATTGAGGATAATCACTCAAATATATTTTTTTTAATAGGCAATCCGCCAGTCACCTAGATAAAAAATTTTTTTTTTATATATAAATTTTACTATAAGTGCGAATGCA